CTCTGCTGCACATCTGGAGACTCTCTGCACACCTGGAGACTCTCTCTGCACACCTGGGGGCTCTCTCTGCACACCTGGGGGCTCTCTGCTGCACACTTGGGGGCTCTCTCTGCACACCTGGGGACTCTCTGCTGGACACCTGGGGGCTCTCTGCTGGACACCTGGGGGCTCTCTGCTGCACATCTGGGGGCTCTCTGCTGGACACCTGGGGGCTCTCTGCTGGACACCTGGAGACGCTCTGCTGGACACCTGGGGACTCTGCTGGACATGTGGGGGCTTTCTGCTGGACACCTGGGGACTCTCGGCTGCACACCTGGGGACTCTCTGCTGGACATGTGGGGGATCTCTGCTGCACACCTGGGAACTCTGCTGGACATCTGGGGACTCTCTGCTGGACATGTGGGGACTCTCTGCTGGACATGTGGGGGTTCTCTGCTGCATACCCGGGGACTCTTTGCTGCACACCTGGGGGATCTCTGCTGCACACCTGTGGGCTCTCTGCTGGACATCTGTGTCAGGTCTCTGCTCCACACTGGTGGGGTGGTGGCTCTGTGTTGGACAGTTACAACCCCAGACCTAGGACACTGCTTCTCGATGGTGGCTCCCAGACCTACCCTGCTGAACAATAATTACAGCTAACACTCAGCACTTGCCCACAGCTAGCCCCGTTTGAGCATTCACAGGACATCCTGGCTCAGGAAATGGACACCCCTAACCCCATTCAACAGCAGAGAGAGCAGAAGCACGGAGCCTGGGGGCAGGCCAGACTGGAGGGGAGTTTCGGTGCCAGGGCCCATGCTCCTAACAGGCGAGCCGGCTGCCCCTCTCTGGGGACACACTTCTGTCCACCCTCGAGTCTGTGCCGGCCGACCTCCTGGGCCCCCACTTCCTCTCCCCAGCTGTTCCTCGTCTGGTGTGCCACACTGAGCTGTGGTCACTGGGTGGAACTGCTGAGGCCCTGGCTTCCCACCTGCATGTCTCAGGCCTCCCCAGGGGGTCCTCCTGCTCATAGAGGCCTTTCCCCTGTGGGGCTCACAGAGCAGGTGCCCCACCTGACCACCCAGTTGCAGCCCTGAGGGTGTGTCTGAACACTCCCTGCTCAGCACTCAAGACCTGGCACCGTCCAGGAGCTTCCAAAGGCTCCAGACTCCATGTCCCAGCCTGCGGGCACCTCTGCCCTGGGGTCTGACCTCGCAGGCATCCCGCCCCATGCTGGGTGACTACCCATCGGGGGAGGGGAAAGTGCTCGGTGCCTGAAGGCCAGGACTGGAAGACACTAGCTCCTGTGCCTCTGGGGACTGTCGGGACCTGCCCAGGGTCACCCAGCCTCCCCACCTCTCTGTCCCCCGCTCCCAAGAGCAGCCGGGGCCTGTCAACGTTCCTCCCCCAGGTTCTGAGACTGCGTCCGGGGGGGCCGGTTCCCTTGCTCACCTCTCCCGTGTGCGCTTCCCAAGGGTCCCTGCATGCCGGGGGTGTCCTAGGGGCGATGGAGCTGTGAAAGCCACGGAGGGACTGGAGGCTGGGCCAGCGAGCGGACCAGCTGCCAAGGAGGGATGGGTGGTGGCTGGGGGTCCTGGCGGCAGTCAGGGGCTGTAAGTGGCAGACTCGCATCCACTTTCATGGGGAGGGCGGGGGAGGTCACCGTGAGGAGGGGCCGGCTTTTCGCAGGTCACAACAGTCCTCGTGGTCAGCAGCCACTTTGCCTGATCTCCTAGGTCTCCTGTGCAAGACGGGGCTCTGGCGTGGGCGGGTCACAGGGACTGTGCGGGAGGCTCCCGTGAGGGGCCCGGGAGGAAGGCCCTTGACAGAGGGCGGAGCCGTGGGGGTGTGACCACGGATGGCAGACTTTGCCACGCCACCGCCACCGAGGGCAGTTTCTGGAGAGGGGCAGCGTCAGCAGGGGTGCGCGTGGGACCCAAGACGGCTGCGGCATCCACCACGTCTGCTAGAAAGGAAAGAGCTTCTAATGGGCATTTCGTATGTTAAAAGCTATTCTTGTTAGTTGTATAAAATTTAGAGAATGTGTATAATGTATGTATGTATATAGCGGGAGACAGAAAGAAAGAGTTCCAGCAACCGAGTGCCCTATTGGCGCAGTGGTTACGCGCTCTGCTGCTAACCAAAAGGTTGGCAGTTGGAACTCACCAGCGGCCAGAGGGAGAGAAGACCTGGAGATCTGCTTCCATAAAGACAGCAGACTGGAAAACCCTATGGGACAGCTCTACTCTGTCCTTTAGGGTCTCTATGAGTTGGAATCTCCTCGATGGCACACAACGAGAACAGTATATATGTGTATATATCGTTGTTGTGTACCTTCCAGTCGATTCTGAGTCATAGAGACCCTGTATTTCAGAGTAGAAATGCCCCGTAGGGTTTCCAAGGCTGTAATCTTTACAGAAGCGGACTGCCACATCTTTCTCCCTCAGAGAGGCTGGTGGGTTTGAACCGCCAGTCTTTCTGTTGACAGCCAAGCGCTTAACCATTGTGCCACCAGGGCCCTCAAATGGTCAGAGCACGTGAAAGTTCTGCGGCTTGGGAACTCGGCCAAGTCGCCCTCTAAAGGGAATCAGTCTGCAGGCTGTGTAGGCGGCATCCGCGTGCCAGCTGGGCTTGGGTTGCAGGCCTTTGGGGAGGGTAAAAGTGCCTTCATGTGTTCATCTGTTTATGATGTTCGTAATTCTTTGGGGTGGTGCTCGTAGATGCCTGTTGCTTTTACTGTTCTTGTTGTTCTTGATTTGTAGAAGCTCGTTACATAAGGACATGTCACACATTTCTCCTTTCTGAAGTTTTCTCATTTTGCTCGCTTTTTCGATATATGGAAGTGCTCAGAATCCTTAGTATAGCTTCACCTGTTCATCTTTTCGTTTACGACGTCTGCTTTTGGTATCGTGGTCAGAAATGGACTTCTCCGTTCAAAAGTTAAATTCACTCACGTTTTCATCCAGTCATTCCCTGTTTAATTTTTTGACGCCTAGATCTTTAACTTCCTTTGGACTTTACTCCGTCCCGTCCGTCTGTCTGTCTGTCTCGATGACTGTCACTTGATGGATTTCTAAGTACCTGGTAGGGGCTCTTCACACCTGCCTCGCCACAGTCCCCAGTCACAGCCACACCGTTGTCCTGCCCTCCTCGCCTCCTTTCTCTCCCACCAGGCGCCCCCAGTTCCTCAGGGGGCTCCCCTGTCTCTGTAGAATCCACCAGAAGCTGGTGCAGCTCCCCATGCCCATGGCAGTCACCGCAGTGTCTGTGGGGAGGAGGGAGGAGGGGACGCAGAGGGTCAGCACCTCACTGAGAGCCCACTTGGTCCCCAGCTTTGTGCTAGGCACCGTCCGTGCGACATGCCGCCAGGTAGAGGCACAGCGAACCCCTGACAGGTCCTTGAGGTTGCGGCCGTCTCCCTGGACTCTGCCTTCCATGCTGCCCTCTATTGAGGCGCCAAGCAGAGCGAAGTCTGCCAACCGTCCAGCCGCCCCACGGGAGCAGACAAGGTCCTCAGACTCTCAGGAGCCGTGTGGGGCCTTTAGGTGTCCCGTTGGCTGGCTGCTGTATGGACCACACTGTTGTAGTTAAGGTTTGTCATGGCTGGTAGCTGCTGTCCAGGTGGCCCTGACTCATGGTGACTCTGCACAGAGGTACAGAGCGCTGCCTGCCCCTGCGCCATCCTCATCATCAGTTGCGGACTGGACCACTGTGATCCCTAAGAAGTCGGTCACCAGCCCTTTCTTCCAAGTTCGTCTTAGTCCGGAAGCTCTGCTGAAGCCTGTTCAGCATCGTAACAACACGCAAGCCTCCACCTCCAGGTGGGCAGTGGCCGTGCATGAGGTGCATCGGCTGGGACTCGAACCCAGGTCTCCTGCAAGGAAGGCAGGGGTTCTACTGCGGAACCACCGATGCCTCACTGTCGTCGAGGGGGATGGAGGCAGAGCCGGGCAGCCTCCCTGGGCACCTGTCCTCGTGGCTTCTGCAGAGGGCCGGCTCCCTGGGGAAAGTTCTAGAGTGACTGTGTGCTGAGACCCCCTGAGACCCTCTGCTTGCTTCTTCTGCTCTTTCAGTGCCGGAGGACCTGTCCACCTAAAGTCCAGCTGCTCCGAGCAGATCAGCCCCCTCCGCCCGGCTCTCCCAGGACAGTCGGGTCACATGACTCCTGGCCCTCTCCAACATGGTGTTCTGGAATGAGCAGCCTTGAAGCTGTGTGCTGGTGCCTCTGTGTGCTGTGCTGTGCTTGGGGCAGGGGCTGATTGGGGCCAGCGCGGGGGAGAGAGGGTCTTCCCCATTCAGAGACCATGCGCCCCTCACCTGGTGTCTCCTGGGAAGAGCGTCCACGCGCATGTCCAACGACTCTCAGAGTCGACCTCGAGGTCTCGCCCACCCACAGCAACCCTCCGAGCTGTGTCGGTGGGCTGCGGGGGCTGTAGGTCGGTGTGGCTTGAGCCATTTCTGCCCCGTGGCGCCCTCCAGGTGAGCGATGGCAGAGGGGATTGATACCTGTGCTGCCTGCCCCGCCCCTGGGGCACAGGGTCTCGGGAGGCGGCCGAGGGCACGGGGTCTCGGGAGGCGGCCAGGGCAACGAGTCCCACTTTCTAGAGGAGGAAACAGGCTCAAAGAGGGCAGGTCTTTGCCTGGGGTCCCACAGACGGTGGGGTGTGGGCCTGTGCTCAGACCAGGCCTTTGGCCTGCAGCCCCGCTGCCCTGAGCCTCGCACCAGCCACTCGGCAGGCCCTGGAGCCGAGGGGAGGGGGTGCGAGCCTGTCCAGCCACAGAGATGGTGACGGGTTTGCTGAAAGCACAAGCAGCCCCCTGTTCTGGGCTCGGAGGGGTGGCCACCTGCACCTGAAGGTCAGGTTCCCGGGTCACTGGCTCCTGGGACCTGCGGTCAGCCTCAGTGCCGTCCTCGGCCACGTCGTGCCTGCCCCAGGCCCGGGGTCCACCCTCCTCTGGGTGGGTACCTCTGCCTGGTGAGGGGACACTGGCTGCTCTCAGCCCCCCGCTGTGCGCTCCCAGCAGGGCTCCGGTTGGGCCAGTGGGAGCCAGTGTCAGGAGGCCACAGGCTACTGGGCCGGGACCTTACTGTGGCTGTGGGAACCCCCGGGCTAGGAGGGCCATCTCAGGTCATTGTGATGGAGGACCGCAGTACCCCAATCCTCCCAGGCGAAGCCCTAGGCGCTGCAGGGCAGGGGGCGCTGGGGGGCAGGGGGATCTGCGGGCAGGGGGCGCTGCGGGGCAGGGGGTGCCATGGTCGGCCCCAGAGCAAGGACTTCCTAGTTGAACCAGAAAGACAGGAGCCCTCGTGAGAGTGCACATGAGTGGTCGTTCTTGACCATTTACCGTCAACCTTGGAGCCAGAAAGGGGCTTCGGGGTGTGGCTCTGGGGGGGTCCCGTGGCTTGTGAGTGGTCCTGGTTGTCCCCCACCTGCCCAGATTGCTGTTCCCCTGCCCCTGCCAGCAGTGGGGAGGCGCGGCCGGTCTGATCCGAGAGAGGCTAAGGAGACGAGAGGGGAGCGCGGGAGAGGGCACGGTCACCTCGGAAACAGGGCTGAGGAGGGAGGAGGAAGGAGGAGCCGGGAGGGGCAGGAGGAGCAGAGGAAACAGGGGAGGGGGCTGCGGGGATGCACAGGGCGACAGGATGCAGCGGCCGGCCCACTAGGTGGTCCCAGGCACCTGGCAGTGGGTGGGAGCACTCCCTTCCCCCGGGAATCCTGCCCTCACAGCTGACCTGAGGCCCCAGGACATCCCGCGTCTGGTCGTCCAGCCCCTGGGCCCCATCCACACTGGCAGGCATCACCTCACACATGGGCTTGTGTTGCCCAGGTCAGGATGGGCCCGGTGGTCCCAGTGCAGCCCCGCCCTAGAGTCACCTTACCAGGGGACTTCACAGACCCGACACTGGGCCCCAAAGTGCCCACCACTGTCCTCTGGGTGTGGCCACCCCTGCCCCACTCTGCCTGTCTGGAAGAAGACTCCCCTACCTGCCCCGTGCCTGGCCCGGCCTGGTCCCTACATTGGTGTGGTCCTGGTGCAGACGCCCTGCTGGGGAGCGGGGTCCCTGCAGCCCCCAGGGAGGCCCCACCAGGAGACAGCCTCCAGGACAGCTCCCTCCCCTTCTAGGGGGGCTATTCCAGCACCTGGGGCAGCCTCAGGCCCTCTGTGGTGCCTGGGCTCCACACCCACTTGTGAATGGGGGGCCCTCACTGAGACTTGAGGTTGGAGAGGGCTGAGCTGAGCCCCAGTTGCTCTGGGGTAGGGGCAGTGCAGGCCCCGTGTGCTGGGGGCCGCTGGGGCCAGGGCAGCTGAGCAGAGCATTTGGGGGCCAGGTCAGAGGTGATGGGGGAGGGGCTGGTGACACTGTGGGGCCTCGACAGCCCCAGGAGGAGAAGGGCCAGAGGTCTGGCACTGGGGGGCAGAGCGTTCACCCTTGTACAAGCTCGTTCTGGTGGGGGTACTGAGAATTCCAGGGGACTGAGGGCTGAGTGGGGACCACAGTGACCAGCAAGGGGTGCA